TGATATCTATGACCTCGTGTCGTCTCCGATCTATGAAGGTAGGTTCTGACCCCCTATTAGGGATATTNGGCTGCCCCTCATCGACCTGCTGCATCCGCCAAGGTTGCAATTGCCCCCGAGGTTTGATGCAGCTTCGCTCTCTTGCGACGTGTTCTCTCGGCTCAACTCAGTCTGACCCGATTNTGGTGCATTGCCGCGATTGCCCAGGGCTTGGCTTGTCTCGGGTGGGTTACACCCAAGACTACTCTCAGAGGTCGCCCAGGTTTCTGAGAGGCACCGTTAGCGACACAGCTCCCCCTGTGCCACGCATCCTTAGGCACGGTATGGCCGAGGCCATGGCTTACGCCGCTCACACACATGGATTGGGTGAGTTCCTCTTAGCGACCGCGAGCGGCGGTAGTCCTTAAGATCCCCACCGCCCGCGACCGAGCCCCCTCACTAACGACAAAGGGGGAACCCCGTGGAGGGGGTAATCTCTGTAATCAAAAAATAAGAACTGCGACGAAAGTCGCGGCGTTATGGACAACCTAATGGATAACTCGCCCGCGAATTAAAAATTTGTCTCTCTCCTCCTAATTGAGATTAAGGGATAAAAAAACGGCAGTTCGACAGAGAATTGAATTCCCCATCAATCAGCCCTCTTTCAGCCCTTAATCTCTGTAAAAAATGGAAGAAACTGTCATTAAAATCACAGCGCAGTAAGAAAAATAATTGTTCTGCGGCGCACAGTGACTCCCGGTAATGAAAAATTCACCTCTCCCCTCCTAATTGAGATTAAGGGATAGAAGAAAGGCAGTTTATTTTATTTATTTAGAATACATGCCTGCGTGAGTTTGCGTCACTAGACGACACTCACTTTGCACGGGGGGAGGCTAGTTTGCCATTAACAATATTGCCATTTTAATATTTTATTACATTTGATCGGTTTTTCACTCACTCAAACTCACAATATACAGCTATATATACAAACACATAATCGTCTTTCTCCTGTCAACTCAAAGCTCGAAAGATTGATTCAGCTGTCTGTCTCTGAACTCAAGTGCTTCAATAATGAAAAAGGCTAGACGCTTAAGCTCTTTTGGATTCTTGATGTCAAGTAACGTGGGAAGCCAGTCAACCTCAAATCTTTCCTCAACAATCTCCCTAAGACGAGCTAGCCTCAGGTGTTGATAATGAGGGCATCTAATTAAAATGTGTACAAAATCCTCCATTTCCAAATGACATAGTTTACAGTGTTCTTTCACATTTACGACATATCTGTTGTTATTTACAAGCAATCTACAGTAGTGTACATTCGCCAAGCGTATTTGAGCAGTTGTGCGAGCAAGGGCCATAGGGCATCTCAAAGATAAGTATCTGGGGCGTCTTGTAAAGAAATCATAGTGTAATTTAATTTGTAAAGATTCGGACTCGTAATATCTAAGAAAATCCTGTGCCCTCAAGTTATCGTGATATCTAGATAAGACTTTAGCCTTGTGACTAGACCAGACCTCAGCGTCCAGACAGTCTCCCAAGAATTCCATGTCAATCTCGTAAAGAATCAATTTTAATTTTGAAAACCAATTATAAGCCACTTTATTCGAGGGCTTGTCACACAGAAAAATTAAGCGTGACAAACAAACCAACGGTAATCTGTGTGTCCCCATTCTAAGAATTCTAATTAACCAACCAATCGTAAGATCAAGCGCCTTTATAGCGAGACGTTTCAGACCTAGTTCCATTCGAACAGCAACCCCTGGAGTTCCTGCGGGAAGCAGCAGAATTTGTTTATAATAATCAATCTGTATTTTTTCTATTTGCTCAAAGTGTCCAATGCCCCACGATGCTACCGCATAAAACAGCGTTGGAGAAACTACACTGTCGAACAATTTGATTTTTGTGCCCCACGCATCAGACTTAGATTTCACCAAAATAGATTTTGTGATGCCAATCGCCATTTTGGCTTTCCTGATAGCATGACTTGCCGCACCAACGCAATTCATATTGCTCTCCAATAAAACTCCCAGGTACTCATATTTGTTAACTGTTTCTAAAGTTTCATTATCGTAGAAAAATGCCTCTTTCTCTGTTTTAAGTATCCTCCCACTGGCTCTAAAAGGCAAAATTTTCGTCTTCCCAGTATTTACGATTAGGCCATTCAAGTCACAGTAATGTTTCAGAGTCAAGTTTCTTCTTAACGTCAATAGGAGTATGACAAAGTAAGGCTGAGTCATCAGCATACGTGGGCAAGAGAATATCGTGCATAGAGTCGATACTGAGCCCCCTAAACCCCTTGTCTCTAAAAAAATCCTCAAAGTCAGAAACGAATAAAATAAAGAGAAGGGGACTCAGTATCTCCCCCTGGAGAACACCCTCAGTAATCTCAAAATTTCTTGTTTTATCTCCCCTGAGCTTTACGTAAGCTTCAGCTTTATTATACAAATCAATGAGAACGTTCAATATTTTGGAGGAGAGCCCCAGATTGAATAGCTTTGACCATAAGAGGCTATGAGGCACAGAGTCAAAAGCACGGCGAAAATCGATGAAAATCGAGTACACTGTGCTTCCCGATTTTTCTTCCCTCCATTTAACATTTCTCTTGTTGCCCCCATCTAAAAGGGTGCCATTTCTGATCTTAACTACAGTAAACATTCCAGTATCTTTGGCACACGTGATGATCGCATCTTTAATCAAATCATTTCTCTCCGCAATTCCCTCAGAACATTTAGGGATTTCCCTAGTGAGCCAACACTCCAACCTATGAGAGAGTTCTCGTTCAACTTCCAAGTTCCATTTTAATTTTTCAATTGATGTAACAGAATCATCAACTCCGATACTTAAAGTACGTTTAGGACTATAAAAGGACAATAAAACTGGAAAATGATCCGAGGTGAAAATATCGTCGAAGACCACCAACCCTTGAACGAGATTCATCGCTGGAGTGTTGACCCAGCATAGGTCCACAGTACTGACGCCTACATGGCTGCTAAATGTCAATTGCCCAGGACAGTCCCCCGGAGCCCTACCATTCACCAAAAACATACCATTCTCATTCATCATATTCATCAGGATACGCCCCTCTCTCTTCAACTCACTGTCACAAAAAACATGTTCACTGATCAGCATCGAGTCACTTAATAATAAATCAGGAATCGTATCGTTGAGGGTACCAATTCTCCCATTAAAATCCCCTATAGGAGGGAGAATGAACTTTATTATGACATACACCTTTCTTCAAATCAGTTTTGTTTTGGTGTTGCTGTTTGGGTAAGATTGATAACCGAGCGGGTTGTATAACAGGACAGGAGATGACACCACCTGTGACACGTATAGCATTGTCTTTATCGACTGGGCCCGATGCGTGCAAATTATCAGGCATACTGAATAACTCCAAATTTCAAGTCGTCCGGTGTAAGGGCGGCTTGCATATCATAATAACAATCTTCTCTGGATGAAGCGTAAAGTAACTTGACTTATTTCAACGAAAAAATGATTGATTTGATGACAGAAACTCCAAAACTTATTGCTTGCCGCGAACCACCAGGATCAGTTCTCTCAGAACACCAGAAACAACACAGTATACAGGGCCAGGTCTGGCAAAAAACAACTCAAAAACCGACAGCAAACAATTACCCGTCCTATCAGATTCCTGGCACACTAGCCGAAGAAAGGCAGTTCGACAGAGAATTAAATTCCCCATCAATTAACTCTCTTTCATCCCTCAGTCGCTGTAACAAAAAAATAAAAACTGCCATGAAAGTCAGGGGTCAGTAAGAAAAATAATTTTTTCGCGGCGCACACTGACTTTTCACCATTCGCCCGCGAATTAAAAATTTACCTCTCCCCTCCTAATTGAGATTAAGGGATGAAAAATAAGCAGTTCGATGAAGAATTAAATTCCCCATCAATTAACCCTCTTTCAGCCCTTAATCTCTGTAAAAAATGGAAGAAACTGTCATGAAAATCACAGCGCAGTAAGAAAAATAATTGTTTTGCGGCGCACAGTGACTCCCACTAATTAAAAATTCACTTCTCCCCTCCTAATTGAGATTAAGAAATGAAAAAGGGCAATTCGACGGAGAATTAAATTTCCCATCAATTAACCCTCTTTCATTCCTTAATCTCTGTAACAAAAAAATAAAAACTGCCATGAAAGTCAGGGGCTAGTAAGAAAAATAATTTTTTCGCGGCGCACACTAATTCTCCATCGAACTACCGTTATTTCATCCCTTAATTACAATTAGGAGGGGAGAAGTGAATCTTTAATTCGCGGGCGAATGGTGAATAGTCAGTGTGCGCCGCGAAAAAATTATTCTTCTTACTGGCCCCTGACTTTCATGGCAGTTTTTATTTTTTTGTTACAGAGATTAAGTGATGAAAGAACGTTAATTAATGGAGAATTTAATTCTCCGTCGAAGTGTCCTTTTTTCATTCCTAAATCGTAATTAGGAGGGGAGAGGTGAATTTTTAATTACCGAGAGTCACTGTGCGCCGCAAAACGATTATTCTTCTTACTGCGCTGTGATTTTCATGAGAATTTCTTCATTTTTTACAGAGATTAAGGGCTGAAAGAGGGTTAATTGATGGGGAATTTAATTCTCCATCGAACAGCATTAGTTTCATTCCTTAATGTTAATTAGGAGGGGAGAGACTATTTTTTAATTAGCGGGCGAGTTATCGGGAGAAACTGCGCCGAGAAACCATTAGGTTTTTCATGGCGCCGCGACTTTCGTCGCAGTTTTTATTTTTTTATTACAGAGATTCAGGGATGAAACGGGGGCTGCTGAATGGGGAATTTATCCCGGGTAGAAATCACGCCGCTCGAACTCGGCTCGGGACCTGTATCGCAGCTAGAAATACGCACTCCGCCCCAGCTTGGGATAAACTCCACGCGCGTCACATGTACCCGAGGGTGAGCCGCGTCACGCGCTCACAGCCCAGCGTTAGACTATTACGCGAAACGCTTCGCCGGGCTTTAGTTGAATGGCCACTGCTCAACCTCAGGTTCATCTCCAATTACTCAATCCCAGTATACTTAACCTCAATAATGCTTTGACAGGTCCGATGGCATCGTGATTTGAGCGAAAAAACAATCGAATAAATGTGAAGATGGCATGCTTTTTCAGATGAACAATCACAAGCTCGTCAGAAATAACGTGATATTAACTAATCGGATCCCCCTCTACTGGGTTCCCACTTTGTCGTAGTGAGGGGGCTCGGTCGCGGGCGGTGGAGGTCTTAAGGACTACCGCTGCCCGCGGTCGCTAAGAGGAGTCCACCCAATCCATGTGTGTGAGCGGCGTAAGCCATGGCCTCGGCCATACCGTGCCTAAGGATGCGTGGCACAGGGGGAGCTGTGTCGCTAACGGTGCCTCTCAGAAACCTGGGCGACCTCTGAGAGTAGTCTTGGGTGTAACCCACCCGAGACAAGCCAAGCCCTGGGCAATCGCGGCAATGCACCAGGTGAAAACGCTTAACCGCGGTACTCGTGGGACTAAAATGGAAACCAATTTAAAAAATCTTAATATTGAAAAAGCAACTTCGGGTGGGGC